TATACCTTCTCACACAAGGGTGTATTTCCCGCCTTCTGACACCATCTCAATGGGTGCCACCGTCGCCGTAACAATTGTTACATAAACGTGTTGTATAAAGAAACAATGCAACAGTAGTCTTTATCAGAATATCAGTATAGTTTGCATCTCAGTATGCAAGGAATGCAAGACGGAAGGCAGTACATAGTTGTTAATAGTAGACTTCCATCTATCGAGTCAAGGTACAGGATGATTGTATCAGACACGCGAGATAAATTGTCCGGCTATCGTGCAGGTGGACACTGATTGTGTATCAGCTTTGCAGTATTGACTGGTTGAGATGGTAATGTATGCTACATTTTTCTTATTGGACCGCCTTTAACCTTTCTCACATAACGCAAGCCCTGTTTCACTTCACGTCGTATTGCTATGGGGCTGTAGTATCTCTTCGGACTTCATACTTAGGCATGACTCGCCCACGTGAGAAAAACATATTATTAGAGGGTGTTTCGTTCGATCTTAGCCTTAAGAATTATTTTTTTCATAAAATGCAGACACCTTACAGTTCTAAGAATGGATAGATATCTGGAAGTAACAAACTGATTCCTAAAATTGCACATACAAAATTAAGCTAGTAGGATCCGGATATCAAACCTTAGCCCATAGCACACGTCACTTAACTAATGGCTACTGTGGGTGTACTAGTGTGTGTCAATGAACACGCATTAGTGTGCCTACGCACATGCCACTGAGAGCCTTAAAATGCCGCATGTTGTTAGAAGACTATTTAAAATATGTTTTCTCAGTCATACAGTCATCTGTTTTATTAATACTTAGGGCTGGGATGTAGTATGTAATTTTATTATGATTTTAGTTTCATACGACACAATAGACAGCCTAACATCATCATTATTAGCGTCTACTGCTGAACATAGGCCTGTAAGATTGCGCTTCTTCGTCTAATCTTGATGTCGCCATCTTAGTGCAAAAGAAATTAGTAAAGCAACTAAATTATTTAACTAATGTTTTATTTTATTGTTTCAGGTAATATAGTTCTTCTGTCTACAATTACAATTACGGCCAGCCTTCCAATTTAAACTTGTAAGTTAATATGTATACGCAATTTAAAAAACTCCCGAAAGATACGACAATCACGGTGGAACAACTAAAAAGTTAAAACAACAAAACGGAATTAAATATAATGATTTTACATTACTATTCACAAATCCTATTTGCATCTAAAATGTACTAATAGTATTTGCACAATGTACATAATATTATGCACCAATAGTTCTAAAGTAATTAGCTCTCAGTAACGTAATTATTGGCTATCGAATGAACACGTGGTTAATTAGGATACATCATTCAAATTATGACATGCCTACGTTATTAATCAAATAATGTAATTACAGCAGAGAAAGCGAATTTGAACTTAAACCACAATAGTCGCCACGTTTTAGCCGCTCACAAAAGCATGGGGAACTGATATCTGTAGGTGGAGTACGTTGCACTCGAATCGCCAAAATCCTTGACTTCTCACTCAAAATCACGTCAGTCATACAGCTCCATACAATCCATCTAGTCTACTTTGATCTCGTAGGCGGCACATAAACAAATGTACAACACAATTACGTACACTGCACGTCAACCTATTCCTATGAGCAAGATTCTTTATTCAACTTTGTACCTTTATAATAAAGTTGAAAATTGTATACAGTTTGTACAATGCATGTTAATACAATAGCCTCGTTAGTCACGAAGTCTAAAAAAATATTTGAAACAATTGCCAACCTATTTTCGCCTCGTGTTTTTAAAAACAGCGAAGTATGTGAGATTTGTATTGTTAAATTTGGTAATTATTATACAAGTAAATATACAATTAAAGTCAGGATTCAATCCGCTTACATATTTTCATACTACTGCATTGTTCATCAACAGTTTCATATAATGAATTGATATTTTACTTTTACTGCACATAGAACATAGTCCTATTAAATGAATATTCTTAGTATTACCACCATGACCTTCATACCAGAAGCCGTCTACTAATGAAAACTGATCGTGGGTGACTAAACTACTTATAATCCAACAAAACAAAATTTTATATCAAAATCCTTTACTATTTTTATCCATCCTCATTATTAAAACAATTTTCAATTAATTTATTCATACACACAAAATCATCTTCGAAACACCAGTTACCAGGTAAACAGAATCCATTAGAGATACGTTTCTCATCCGTTTTGACCTAGTTAATGCAACATACAGGATCTCCTGTCCGCTGACACTAGCTGATAATGAAGCACGCAAGTTCATTAAATTCTATAATGACGTCACAGCATCGAGGGATGGGATATTCTACGTAACTGTAATATGCATATATAGTGCAAATCCGCGGAACTAGCATATGATAATTCCGCGTATCTGACAAATGTAGCTATTTCAAGTTTTCGCGGAAATTCCCGCAAAATTTTAATTGGTTGCCACCGCCTTGATACTAGTTCATTTCGACTCATTTTTAATAGCATAAATTCATTAAATTAATAATGTTATTTAGTTTTAAACTTCCCCTATAAAAGTGGATCTATTGCAGATTCGCGGATTTGCACTATTCCCCGACGATAACATGACTATTTAATCTTCAAAGGCTTTGACACATGTACCACCACCCACTTTCTAGCCCTTAGGTATCTTTAGGTTTATCCTAAAAATCCATCCATCCCTTACTACATGGGACCTTACGGGATGAGTACCGTAGTACACACGGCCAGACATCAATCTTTACAAAACCAGTTTATCCTGGTGTCCCGTCGCATCATCTTTCCGCACATGTAACGTTCAGTTTATACTGGTTATGTAAAGCTCGATGTGTAGCCGTGTGTACAGTACAATATATATTTAACAATTTGTTTTTGTCTTCTCTGCACCAATTCATTAAATAATTTGTTAATAAAACAAATAGGTAGGTAAAGCCTACTCAGAGGCAAATTATTATATTACTAGCTTCTGCCCGCGACTTCGTACGCGTAATCCCATTTTTTCCCGTACCCGATCGTGATCTTCGGTAAAAATTAAAAAAAAAAGTATTGATTAAAAAGTATACTATGTCGGTCTCCTGGCTCTAAGCTACCTCCCTACCAATTTTCAGCCAAATCTATTCTGCCGTTCTTGAGTTATAAGTGGTGTAACTAACACGACTTTCTTTTATATATATAGTTAATCCTAAAGGATGTGATTTCATTGCATCCTTGAATAATTCTTATCATTAGCAAAGGCACCGTGAATAATTTATATCTCATATTAGTCAGGAAAAAATTGAAATCAAAGTGAGTTTTTTTATTATGCCGCAATTATATATTCACAAAAGCGGATACCATAAACAATATTCGCATTGTTTTCAACATTTCTATACGAAACCTAATTACCTAATGACGGAAACAACAGTTTGATATTTGTTTTTATTCAAAAAGCATTTATAATAGGAAAAGTAAACAATATCAATTATTAATAGTACATTGTTAAAACAATAAAAGAATAAACTGTTTGGTATACAAAAACAATTGAATTGAATAGAACATAGTACCATTAATAACAAAACAATAATTTGTCAAAAGATTTTTTGTTTTCTCCGAAGGCAAGCTTCGTTCGGTGTTCGTGAATGTTCCGTCGTCGGTCAGGTCACGAAGATTTTTTTAGGCTATTCTTGTGTGAAGATAATCTGCTCTTTCTTTAATAAGCAGATGTCTGGAGATGTCCCTAACATATGGGCATGACCAATGTTTGTTCCGGTCAGTTTAGCATTTGGGTCGCATCACTCGTTGTTCTAAAAGTTCTAATAATAGTACCTAGTAGAAACTATGGGATGATACAGAATATGCAAACTATACATCTATTCCATCTGATAAGTACGTATAGGTACAGTAAGATTTTGAGAAAGTAGGTATAGGTACTTACATTGGCCACATATTTTGTTTGTTTGGTCGAAATAAGACAAAAATATAAGTAGTTTAAAAAATTTATGTCTACATCTACGTCATGTTCAAAATGTACCCAAACGTGACGTCAAGGCACAGTTAGGATAAACAGTGCTTCTTTATTAGCACACAAAAATACGTTTATTCAATATATTTACATCATCCTTTAGAATGAACTAGTTTACAGTGATCTGTATTTATGCTAGGAGAGTGAAATATTATTTAAACAAGGCTATGAATCAAATAATGGTTAAATATTGTGATAAAACCAATTTGGTGGATGACCACTAACGGGAATACACTACCTACATGTAATTAGCTTAGTGGTTTACGAATCAATACAATTACAAACAACAAATATCTGTTGTATTATAACTGATAAATATAATATTGTATTACTATTTGAATAATGTCGTGATATCAGATTAGAATATAATTTGTCTGCATTCTTCCTAATCCTTCATAAGAAGAATAGGGATTCTTAATGCGAATGTCACAAGAGCTGATCTCCAAGCAGTGCAGCAGCATATAGGTTTCGGAAAACCCTAATATGTAGGTAGGTCCCAAGTCCAAAAGAAAACAATCACGGGTTTTTTAAAATAATTCGTATGCAACTATGTATAAAATAACGTCACTGCGTTTTTAAAACATAGCTCGAGAGTGTAGGTACGTCAAATAAACAAACAATTATTTCCCCTTTTTTTAACATAAAACTACTTAGCAATAACTTGATGTAGTCTTTTATGGAAATAACTAGCTGCGAGTGCCCTCACTAGTATCTACTAATTGCAAATACTAGCAATACTGCATGCAGGTAAGTGGTTGGAGAAAATATACTAAGTATGCAATCTAGCTTTCTCCTCGCAAGACAAAATAAAAAAAATATTAAACATATCTTACTACCTCGTTGGCCGAGTGGTCGCAAGTGCGAGGCGTCTCGGGTTCCCGGGTCGGGCAAAGTTTTACCGAGTTGATTAAAAATTCTCAGTAGTAGTACGGAGTCTAGAATTGTGCCCGGTATATGACAATACGCTCACCCTTTATTCCATGGGATTCATAACATAAATAGTGAAATGCGGGTGTTACATTGTACAGTGGCATAATGTGCACATCTGCCTATCCCTTCGGGGATAAAAGGCTTGATGTTATGTATGCATTTTAGATATCTTATAGAATAAGTAGGAGGAATGAAGCAGTGAATTTTATTGGAAAAATTCGATACGAAGTTACATTGCATTATTAGTATCTAGAATTAAAATGTTGTCCAAAAACAAATGCTATTATCAAATAGAATAAAATACTTTAAAAATCAATCAAGCAAATACAGTACTAATGTAAGTTAATAAAGTAAGTAATTGGTCATAATGTCGTGGTGATCTAGAGGTTTAAGACGCCCGTTTCTCAAGCATGAGAAACGGGTTCAGCCTACCAACAGCAAAGTACCAAAGTGACTTTTTCCGAGTTACCTATAACTATATTCTTTCTAAGATTATCTAGGCACCACTGACAAACGGCGAAGTAAATCATCGTGAGGAAACTTGGGCTTATAATAACTGTACACCGGGATAGTAGCTTTACGCCACAATCCTACTGCACAGTATTACCTAATCCTAATGACTACTAGCTAACGTTATCCTATACTATCCTAGCTAATCTAACACTTATAATAACCTATCCTATAACCACCTTAATCCTAATTACCTATGTAGTCTAAATCCTATCCTATAATTGCCTAGCGTACAATGCGTATAGGCGTGGTGCTCTGGGGTATACTGGGATACAGACCAGCACTTCTACGCACCTACTACTAGGCCCTAACCTAAGGCACGTACTATCGTGGTACACTGTGGTATGCTGTGATACAGACCTACGCTTCGTACGCGCCTAATGCCCTAGCCCTACAGTCCCTAGACCCTAGCCCTACCATACGTATTTATATATACTTATATAGATAGGTGCTGGATATCTGCCACCTGAGACCTATGATGGCAGACGGAATGTGGGTAGGGATGGGGTATGGTGGAGATGGTTTTCTCACTGCCTGTCGAGCAGACTCACACGACAGATCGGTTGATGGCTAAAGGTGTCTTGGCCACAGTGAGAGGTGGAGGAAAGGTAGTGAGTCAAAGTCGGAATCAACTAATGACTGATTTATTTCTTATATTACATGATCTTATATACTAAACTTATCCTATGTACACACATACCACACTATGATTGTGTGCTATGCGTGTAATGTACCATCTCAGCGCTCTATCCTTACGTGAGTACGTGATGTTTTCCTTAGTTGTATTCCGGAATTAATATGTTTCTGGTCAGTACTGTATCACGGAGGGTTAGCTCGCTGACATGGCATGTTCATGTTTGAACAATAACTAATAATTATAAGCTTGAATTCGCCAACCCGCAATGAGTAAGCGCAAACCTTCTCCGTGCGAGAAGAGGTTTTTGGTGTACAGTGGCCACTTATAGGTTGTTGTTAACTTGATTGATCATAATAATTTTTGCCCACGTCTACGAAGAAAGTAACTACAAACATGTAAAGATCTATATTCTTGCGATAACTAATGACTGCACGGTTAGCACGGTGGCTGGGCAACTGGCTGCCACGCAACGTGTCGCGGGTTTGATTCCCGCACGGAACAATTATATGTGTGATCCACAGATTGTTGTTCCGGGTCTGGGTTTCATGTGTATGTGAACTTGTATGTTTGTAAAAGTACCCACGACCCAGGAGAAAATCCTAGTGTATCCTATGTAATCCAAGATAAAAAAAAGAAAAATTGGCGTCAACATATTCATCTTAAAAAAAACTTTTTTAAAGTAAGGGAGGATCCTTTGCGAAGTCATATTGCGTCGTTGTCACCTTTTTTCTTTTAAAGTATACTACAGAATGGATAGAAGACCTGCATTAAGCTTTTAATATTATGAAATTGGTCATCCTTTGGCATTATACCCGTCAACTTACAGGCTGGCGTCATGTGGGCGTTCGATTGCTTATCGCTTAATATATTCTGCCTGCTTTGTATAAAATATTGTATAAAGCTGGTTGAATTTAATGAATCCATCAGGTAAACAAAATGGATGGATACGCGTATAAAGTTGTTGAGGTACACCGCGAGTGGTTTCGCTGGAAAGCATTTCAATGGAACTAATAGCATTACGTCATATTAGAACCGCTTAATTACAATGTTAACTACACACCTATGTGGTGACAGGAGAAAATCCTAGTGTAGGGCAACGTTTATTTAAAGAAAGAAAAAAGATTGTAATCAGTTATCCTATACATCGCACCAAATCAAAAAAACAAGAGTGATTAATACGAATTTTCTTCTTAACCCTTTAAGTACCGTCATTATAGACACAATTAAAGAACAATAGGTTGCGGTCACCGGTGTCCTCGCGGTGTTTGACAGTTTAAAGCTTCGACCATAAAACATTTCCATAACATAAAACTTTCTGAATCGCCGACATCAGCTCCGGATAGACTAGAAATAAAAACGTAAAGTCTCATATGAAATAAAAAAAATGTATTTTGTATGTCATTATAAACTAACTTAACATAACATAACATCACGCCTTTTAGTACCCCTTCGGGACTAGGCAGAGGTGCACATTACGGCACTTAATGCCGGCACAATGTAACACCCAGACCCACATTTCCAGACTCCGTGCTACTACTGAGATTTTTAAAAACCCAGTAATACTTTGCCCGACCCAGGAATCGAACCCGAGACCCCTTGCCCTACAGTCGCACTTGCGACCACTCGGCCAACGAGGCAGTCTTATACAATATGTACGCGAAACGAGGCAGGCATTATAAATTATCAGTTGGTAAAAATATCCACAAAATATGTGGATAAGATTTTCAATGGTAACTCTATACAAGTAATGTCCGAAATTGATTCTTATTCCAATACGATTTCAATTTAAGATCAAATGTTCCACGTATCGAGCTAGAAGAAGTTTCTATACATTTAATTCGTATTTGCTACTTATAAGTGCGTCTGAAGTTCCAGGTATAAGTAAAGAGAGAATCTAGCATTAAAGTGTTTCTTGTTAGGAACTGAATTGAACTGCAAGTGATTACAGACGCTTGTTAGCACTTTGTTGTATTATATATCTTTTGCTTCACGGAACTGCTACGCTGTTATAAAGTTTAATGAAAATATTTTCTTTTATATTTTTCTTCGTTTCACAAGGCGATGTCTGATGTAATGTTACTAAAAACTTGTAGTTAAATACTTTTCAGTGTTATATATGAACGACAAGCAAATGAGTCACGTGCCATGGGTTCGATTTCCAGACCGGACAACTGGACATTGGTGTTCGATAAACCAAATTTTTTGCATGTGACGTATTCAGTATTGGATTGATATTATTATCTGTCTTATAAGTCCAAAACACAGCACAGAAGATAAACCTACATCGTTTAAGAAACAATTAAATGATATAACGAAAATTAAAGATAGCGTTTTTGAAGAAAGTTTCTCGGATCGATTTAAATATCAATTACACAGTAATCAGTTAAATAAAACAGTGAAACATTGAACTGGCAGTTAGCTCAAAGTTTTCAAATCGAGCTAATTAACCTTGCTCTTGTTTTAACTTTATGAAAGTATCTTAAATTGAGAGGAACTTACGAAACCGCTGAACTGTATGGAACAAATCCATTCACTTTTTTTATGTTGTTTTGTATTGATAAATGTGATTGGGAATTGTCATACATACGTAATTATACGTAAATATAGATCAATGCACATCATGTGTACCTACAAATATATAAAGATACTGTTCTTGCACGTAAAATGAACAATTTGAACAATCGCTAATTGAGTGACCGCGAATGCCGTACAAGAGGTCTCAGGTTCGGTTCCCGGATCGGGTGAAGTAATATTGGGCTCCCTAGTAATATTTTTACTAAAAAGACGAGACGTTATGTTATCTTACGACTGAGCTATCTCCAGTAAAGATAGTCGATAGTAAAATACTATCACCCAAATACTGAAAGACTCACTTTAACTCAGTTAAATATCATGCCATCGCTGTATTTTTTTTTTATTATTTTTTTTTATTTTATACAGAATTTTTAATGACAGAACTATACTTAAGCTCGACTTCAAATTGAGTAGCGTTTTAGTATTTAGACATATGAATAATAACAGGAATATCTTGTACACAAGGACTAAACAATAAGAAACAAAATAAATATTATAACATGCATGTACAATATGTATCTATACTATGCATTATCCACAGTTGTCAATTCTAAAGGAAAATAAAGAAAATTTTTTGTACACAAATAAATCAATATTTTGATAGACAATGTATATGACTTTTGTATATTATTGGTAAAACGCAAATAACTGCACAATACTATGCCTCAATGTGTCATTATTGTAATTTCAGTTGTGGATACATTAATTAAGGTGCATTATTGAATAGCAAGCAAGGTTCGTCGAATAACTACAAAATAGTGGACTCAGTGTATTTGATTGTAAAATTGTCTTTATGACAAACACAGTAGGATTTATTTTGGACCTTCGCTAATGATTTTAAATTAGTTGACATTTGATTTAATTTTCAAAATGGTTTTCTATTGTCCTTCACGGAAACATTTTTCCTACTTGTACCTAGGACTAATGTAATGTAATGAAATAATATAAAAATGTTAAGTATGGAAAATAAGAAACACAATTATTCGATTTAAATACCTTTTGTTTTAGAAGTAATACATTCTATTTCCAACACTAAAGGCCGTATTTTCAATGAACAGATAATTTTAAACTGGAGAATAAATGTGAGTTTTGACACTACGGAAGAATTGTCAAATATTCTTTTATCTGTTAAAACACACACATTATACCAACAACAACACATTATACCCGCAACTTTCAACAGACAAGAGGATATTCAAAGATATTCCTCCTATAAAATTTAACTGAGCATTGTAAAATCTACCCTAAGAAGCAAGCATAAAAAAATACCTATCAATAAACATAAAGGATCAAAGTTTAAAAAAATATAAAAGCTTAGATAATATAATGTCAATCAATATCACAAGAAATTATATTGTTATCGTTAATTCAGTGACGTCATTC